ACAGTGTTACAAGCTCTTGAAGATACAACGGTGCCTCACCAGCAAGTGCCTTGTAGGTTAGGAGAAGTACCTTAAAATCTATTCTTGATTTAACAGGGAGCCAGTGCAGAGAAGTTAATACAGGAGTGATGTGATCCCTTTTCTTAGTTCTTGTTAATACACGTGCTGCAGCATTCTGAATCAACTGGAGAGGCTTAAGAGATTTACAAGAGCAGCCTGATAACAAAGAATTACAGTAGTCAAGTCTGGAAGTGACAAACGCATGAACTAATTTTTCTGCATCACTTTGAGACAGGAAGTTCCTGATTTTTGATATGTTACGTAGATGAAAATAGGCAGTCCTTGAAGTCTTCTTTATATGCGAGTTGAAGGTCATATCCTGGTCGAAGAGAACTCCCAGATTCCTGACAGTGCTGCTGGGTACCAGAGCAATTCCATCCATAAAAACTGTATCACGTGACAGCTGGCTTCGAAGGCGCTCTGGGCCCATCAGGATAACTTCCGTTTTTTCTGAGTTTAGCATCAGGAAGTTGCTGGTCATCCAAGTTTTGATGTCTCCAAGACATTCTTGAAGTCTTACTAACTGGTCCGTCTCTTCTGGCTTGATCGACAGATACAGTTGAGTATCGTCTGCATAACAATGGAAGTTTATGCGGTGTTTCCTGATAAGATCGCCCAAAGGAAGCATATAGAGGGTAAATAAGATCGGTCCAAGTACAGAACCTTGTGGGACTCCGTGACCAACATTGGTGGTCTTTGAGGATTCACCGTTTACAAGCACAAACTGGGATCGGTCCGATAGGTAGGATTTAAACCAGCTGAGTGCAGTTCCTTTGATACCAATTAAATGTTCTAGTCTCTGCAACAGGATACAATGATCTATGGTATCAAATGCGGCACTGAGGTCCAGCAAGACAAGAAAAGAGATGAGTCCTTGGTCCGATGCAAGTAAAAGATCATTCGTAATTTTCACCAGTGCTGTTTCTGTACTGTGATGCACTCGAAATCCTGACTGGAAATCCTCGAACAAAGCATTGTTTTGTAGAAAGTCACATAATTGATTTGCGACGGATTTCTCAAGGATCTTAGAGAGGAAGGGAAGATTAGAGATAGGTCTGTAGTTAGCCAGCACCTCTGGAGCAAGAGTAGGTTTCTTAAGAAGAGGTTTAATTACAGCTACCTTGAAGGACTGTGGTACATGTCCTGTCAACAAAGACAGATTCATAATATCTAATAAGGATGTGCTAACTAAAGGAAAAACTTCCTTAAGCAGTTTGGTCGGAATCGGATCCAAGAGACAGGTAGAAGATTTAGACTTTGAAAATAAAGAAGTCAGTTGATCAAGGTTGATGGAAGAGAAGGCATCCAAACAGGCATCAGGGCCCACTGCTGCATCCAAGGTTCCTACATCGGAGGACAGGTCGGCACTGGTTGAAGGCAGGAGACCATCAATTTTCTCTTTGATAGTCAGAATCTTATCATTGAAGAAGTTCATGAAGTTGTTACCAGTGAGGTCCAAAGGGATACACGGCTCGACAGAGCTGTGACTCTCTGTCAGTCGGGCTACAGTGCTGAAGAGAAACCTGGAGTTGTTTTTATTTTTCTCTATTAATGATGAGTAATAAGATGCTCTTGCGTTACGGAGAGCTTTCTTATACGTTTTAAGGCTGTCTTGCCAAACTAGCCTAGATCCTTCTGATTTGGTGGAACGCCATAATTGTTCAAGTTTCCGCACAGTTTGCTTTAGGTTCCGTGTTTGAGGGTTATACCACGGAGCAGACTTCCTTCTTGTTGCTATTCTTTTTTCCAGAGGAGCAATAGCATCCAGCGCCACTCTCAAAGAGCCTGTAGCAGTATCGACAAAATTATCGATCTGGGACGGACTGAGGTTCTCACAGGAGTCTTCTTGTATCTTGAGGCAGGGCACTGAACTTAGAGCAGAAGGAATGGCTTCTTTAAATAAGGCTACAGCGGTATCCGATAAGCGTCGACTGTAGAAACCTTTGGCAGGAGGAGGTGGTTCTGATAGTAGAAATTCAAAGGTTATCAGACAATGGTCCGACAGGAGAGGGTTCTGTGGAAAAATTGTTAAATGTTCAATCCCAATCCCATACACAAGAACCAAGTCGAGAGTGTGGTTAAAACAGTGAGTTGGTTTATTTACACACTGACAGAAACCAATTGAATCTAACAATGAAAGAAATGCAGTACCAAGGCTGTCGTTGTCGACATCCACATGAATGTTAAAGTCACCCACAATAATTACCTTATCCGTTTTAAGGACCAAACTCGTTAAGAACTGTGAAAATTCAGAAAGAAATTCTGAATAAGGACCTGGGGCCCTGTACACTATTACAAAGAGAACCGGCTGGATTATTTTCCAGGTCTGTTGCGAAAGACTGAAAACCAGGCTTTCAAATGAGTTATAATCCACCTTAGGTTTAAAGTTTATTAAAAGGCAGGAGTATAAATAGCTGCCACCCCCCCTCGGCCTGTGCCTCGGGGAATATGAGTATTAACATGACTCGGAGGAGTCGCTTCATTTAAACAGAAATATTCCCCATTCAACAACCACGTTTCAGTAAGACAAAATACATCAACATGGTGATCTGATATTAGTTCATTTACCAAAACAGCTTTAGATGACAGAGATCTGATATTCAAAAGACCCCCTTTAATTCTCCTATTTTGTTGCACTATTGCATTATTAGTTTTAACTTTAATTAAGTTATTTACTACAACTCCTCGGTTGTTTACCTTTAACTTAGATGAGTGTGTCCGTGGGGCAGACAAGGTCTCTATAGGGTTCATTATGCTGAGTGACTGCGACTCTGCTCCCTGGTCTGAACTCTGGGTCATGGATTAAGTCCACTAAGAAACTGGGTCAGGTTCTTAGAAAGAAGTTCAGCTCCGTCCAAAGTGGGATGGATGCCGTCCCTCCTAATCAAACCAGGCTCTCCCCAAAACGTCTTCCAGTGATCAACGAAGCCCACATTATTTACTGGGCACCACCTCGACAACCAGCGGCGGAATGACGACATGCGGCTGTACATGTCGTCACTTGTCAAGTTTGGGAGGGGGCCAGAGAAAACTACGGTGTCCGACATTGTTTTAGCGTATGTACACACCGATTCCACATTAACTTTAGTGACCTCCGAGCAACGTAATCGGGAGTCATTACCGCCGACATGTATTACAATCTTACTGTATTTACGTTTATCCTTAGCCAGCAGTTTAAGATAAGACTCAATGTCGCCCGCTCTGGCCCCCGGTATACATGTAACTATGGTCCCTGGTTTCGCTAACTTCACGTTCCTCAGAATGGAGCTACCTATCACCAGAGGTGGCTTCTCAGCGGGTGTGTCGCCGAGTGGGGAGAAGCGGTTTGAAACGTGAAGTGGTTGGTGGTTAACCGTGTGCTTCGACTTAGACTTATGCTTACTCCGGACAGTCACCCAGCCTCCCGGCTGCTCGGGGGTTGCCGGGGGACGGCTAGCAGGAGCGAACGCTACGTCTATGTGGCCCGCACCGGCTACGGGGGTGGGCTGGGTAACTACAGCGGCTAACGACTGAGCTTCCATGGTGCGGAGCCGTGATTCTAGCTCACTAAGCCTCGCCTCCAATTTATCAAATATACTACACTTCTTACATGTACCGTTATCCGTAAGGGAGGCAGAGGAATAGCTAAACATGTGTCACACCGAGCAAGAAAGAGCAGGAGAGGTAGGATGGGAAGACATCACCAGGTTAGCTGCTAAGCTAATGCTAACGCTAATAGAAGTAACGTTGACGCTAAACAACGTCTAAGCAACTATTCAATGGAGCGAAAATTTGCTAGACGGTGAGGTGTTTAACAGCGTCTCACATAGATAAGAATTCACTATTTGTGATGAAAAATGTCACGCTACAGTCAACTCAGTTTAGCTAGAGCTGTGAAAAGTTCGATGACATCAAACACGCTGGCAACAGGAAGTGACGCAACACGCTTACAGTCAGCTGATATCAGTTGCTTTATTGTTATATCATGCATTTGTAATCTGTGCGGTTAGGAAATGGATTAAGAACTCTCAATTGTTATTCATGTATTCTCAACCACAAAAGACAAAATAAAATCCATTGAATGTCTTAATTTCATTTTTAGCACCTCTGCTTGCTCAGCAATGTAAAGTGACTGATTTTATTCTTGTTTTGCTGCTTAACACAAAGTTATACAAATATGTACTCAGCTCAAAATGCAGATTAACAGACAATGAATATTAAAATAACCAGTAAAACATCCAACCTAAATACTAACAACAAATTTCCTAAAAAAACGTTTAAACAATATTTAAAAAAAAGATCTTAAGGCATAAAAACATTAAAGGCCTTCTGGTATTTTTCTACAAGTCCGCACTTTAACATGAACTCATTGAGGGACGAAATAATCGCGCACAACAACAAATCGATAATGAAATTAGTTTCATCGCTCCGTTGTTGCAGCCCTACTAGACATGAGGTATTTGGTTCGACTAGAAAAAAACTGTAAGATGTATTTGGAGCAGCCGCTCTATGGGCGCACCACTCAAAGAGATATGCAGCTTGTGTGACAACCTCAGGCTTCACAGACTGGCTCTAGTGAAAAGCAATACCACTTCTCGGGGAGGAGAAACCTGAACCTTTGCAGGAGGTTGAGCTCCATCAGCCAGGGAGGTGAGAGCCTCCGTGGACGAGTTTCCATGTCAAAACTCACATGGGCAACAATGATGTAACCAAGAGAGGGTGCTGATTGGGTAAAGGGGCTAAAGAGGATTCTCATCTGTGTGAGTTTGCATGTGGACTTGTAGTGTTCGACATTGATGCTTCCTCAGTGTTCCACCTTGTGTGAAAGATTTACCACACTCTGCACAGCTGAAAGGTT